TTTTTTCAGAAAATATTTCGAAAAAAAATTTTTTGAGCCCAATTTTTTTTTCGAAAATTTCGAAAATTTTTCCAAAACATGGCTTTTTTTCACTTTAAATCATTTTCAGACATTTTCAGACATTTCAGAGTCATTTTCAGACATTTTTAGAGATATTTTCAGCATTTTTCAGACATTTTTAGACATTTCAGAGTCATTTTCAGCTATTTTCAGACAATTTAGAGCCATTTTCAGCCATTTTCAGTCATTTTAGAATCATTTTCAGTCATTTTAGAATCGTTTTCCGTCATTTTCAGACGTTTTATAGCCATTTTCAGCTATTTTCAGACATTCTATTTTCAGACATTCTCTTTCAGAGTCATTTTCAGCATATTGCAGACATTTTCAGACATTTTTAGAGCTATTTTCAAACATTTCAGAGTCATTTTCAGCTATTTTCAGACATTTCAGTGTCTTTTTCAGACTTTTTCAGACATTTTCAGAATCATTTTCAGACATTTCAGTGTCCTTTTCAGACATTTTCAGCCATTTTAAAACCATTTTCAGTTATTTTTCAACAATTTTCAGACATTCTATTTTCAGACATTCTCTTTCAGAGCCATTTTCAAACATTTTCAGACAATTCAGAGCCATTTTTCAGTGATTTTCAGACATTTTCAGAATAATTTTCAACCATTTTCAGCCATTTTTTCAGAATAATTTTCAGCCATTTTTTCAGCCAGTTTAAAACCATTTTCAGTTATTTTTAACAATTTTCAGACATTCTATTTTCAGAGTCATTTTCAGTCATTTTCAGACTTTTTCAGAGTCATTTTCAGCTGATTTCAGTCATTTTCAGACTTTTTCTGAGCCATTTTTCAGTGATTTTCAGACATTTTTAGAGATATTTTCAGCCATTTTCAGACATTTTCAGAATCATTTTCAGTCATTTTCAGACATTTCAGAGTCATTTTCAGCTAATTTCAGACATTTCAGAGTCATTTTCAGCTAATTTCAGACATTTTCAGAATATTTTTCAGCTATTTTCAGACAATTTAGAGCCGTTTTCGGAGTTATTTTCAGCCATTTGCAGAGTCATTTTCAGCAATTTTCAGCCATTTTCAGACATATTTGAACGCTTTAAAAATTAAAAAATTCATCCCATAACACATTTATTCGAGAAAATTTAACGCTTTTTCTGGAAAAATCTTCTCAGTGGTTTTGGAAGTTTGTTGATTCGAATTTGGGAAAAATCAGTGGTAGGATCGTAATCCGAGTAATCAGTACTACCGTAATCCGGGTAGTCTGTACTACCGTAATCCGGGTAATCAGTGGTACCGTAATCCGGGTAGTCTGTACTACCGTAATCCGGGTAATCAGTGGTACCGTAATCATCGTAGGACGTTGTTTCCCATGGACGATAAGTTGTGGAGCCGTCATCTGGGTATGGGGTTGTCTCCCATGGACGATAAGTTGTGGAGCCGTCATCTGGGTATGGGGTTGTCTCCCATGGACGATAAGTTGTGGAGCCGTCATCTGGGTATGGGGTTGTCTCCCATGGACGATAAGTTGTGGAGCCGTCGTCGGGGTATGGGGTTGTCTCCCATGGACCATAAGTTGTGGAGCCGTCGTCGGGGTATGGGGTTGTCTCCCATGGACCATAAGTTGTGGAGCCGTCGTCGGGGTATGGGGTTGTCTCCCATGGACCATAAGTTGTGGAGCCGTCGTCGGGGTATGGGGTTGTCTCCCATGGACCATAAGTTGTGGAGCCGTCGTCGGGGTATGGGGTTGTCTCCCATGGACCATAAGTTGTGGAGCCGTCGTCAGGTGTCGGCGATGGTTGTGGAGTAGAAGCTGGAATTATAGTTTTGTTATTTTTGACATTAGCTTGTCTGAAAACCACTATTAGCAATATTTTCAAAAAAAACATTTTTTCAAAAAATTTTTAATTTTTTTCCGAAATTTACAAAATATTTCAAAGTCTAGCTTGTTTATACTCATTTTAAAGAGAATGTTGCGCTGATATAGAATTTGTAAACGAAAATTTCTAAAAATCAAAATTCATCGAGATACGGTACTTTGAACCATCTCGTAAGGAACGCGCCTTACTACTAGCTACTAGGAGAAGCGGAATTTCTAGACGTTCCGGAAGTTTTGGTTAGAAATAAATATGATTTTAAAAATCAGCGGGTTTGAAAACCCCTAAAAATTTATAGACAGAAAATTCGAACAAAAATTTGGACTCAAAATTTTCAAAATTTTCAGATTTTTTTAGATTTTCAAAATTTGCCAAAATATGCCATGTTTATACTCATTTTGAAGGGAATTTTGCGCTGATATAGAATTTGTGAACGATAACTTCTAAAAATCAAAATTCGTCGAGATACGGTACTTTGAACCCTTTCGCGTACTGTTAGAAGCCATTATTAGGCCTTAGGAAGTCCAAAAAGTTTCGGAATGTATTTTTTGAGGTTTTGAGAAGTTTCCATCACAAATGAACATGTGATTTGTAAACCCCTGAAAACAAATTTTCAGACAAATAATTCCAAAAAATATTTTTGAGCCCAAATTTTTGAAAATTTTCAGATTTTTCAGATTTTCAATTTTTTTGAAAAACATGGCTTGGTTTAGAGGCGATATAAGAATAAGTGTGATTTTTGGAATCAGCGTGTCTGTAAACCCCTAAAAACTTGTTTTCAGACAGAAAATTCGTTAAAAAATTTTTGGCCCAAATTTTTGAAAATTTTCAGATTTTTCAGATTTTCAATTTTTTGAAAAACATGGCTTGTTTATACTTTTAGAGGAACTTTAGAGCTAATTTCAAATATATTAATGAAAAACGCCAAAAATCGAAATTCGTCGAGTTACGGTTTCTGGAACTGTCTCGCCTAGGAGCTATGGTTAGGAATTAGGAAGGCCAAAAAATTCGTGGTGTAACTTTCCAATCGGTACCGACGGTCCGTCGACGGACCGTCAACGGCCCGTCAGTTCTCCTTCGGCTGCCAACTAGCAGTCATTCGCCAGTTTGCGCCTCTTCAGCTGTCATTTAGCAGTTTTTCGGCAGTCCCCCTTTACCTGTGTTCACACTGCTGTCTGGTTCTTTCCCTTCCCCCAATCTATACAGGGTGGCTGAAAAGTATTGAGACTTTGTTTAGACTCAATTTCTTGAAAACAGAGAACCTGATGACTATGACTGCTAGTTTTTGCGAATAATGATTATTTTTCTAGTTTACATTTAGAAGGAAAACCTTGAATACCTTAGTTTTACCTAGTTAGAACATCAAATGTGATGTAGAAATATGAGCGACTCGCCGCACCTTGTTTTTAGTACTTCATGATGTAACCGCAGATTGAACAAAGGTTGAAAGTTCATGCTTTCAATATAGTTGGAAGAACTCTTCTAGATAATGCTCCTAAAATTTTAGATACCTCGATAACCTCTATTTATAGATATGAGTGATATCATGCAACCGACCAAATGACTCAAAAATGGCTCAAATTTTCAATGTTCCAGTTCAAACAGATAGAGTCAACAAAATGTTTTGAAACTTCTCAAATTATCATTTGTGCACATTTGAACAATTTGACAGTGAAAATCTTTCAAGCGATCCGGGTTTTTATCAAGATATGCCCTTTCGAAAAAAGCTCATTTAGTACTGCGCGGCGAGGCAAAAGTTGAGTTTGCGGTAATGCTCCTGCGGCCTACAAAATGACTTCAAATTGAAAATGAAAGTGTTTGAGACAACAATCGAGAGATGCACTATACATTCCATGTCTTTAAAGCTAAATTGGACTTGACCTTTTGACACAGTAAATGGTCAAAGATGACCAATTTTGTACTGAAAAAGTAGTCAAATTCAATCAAACTGGAATTGTGATCTTGTTACCAAAAGTAGATACATTCTAGTCATCAAAAAATCTTTAGAAGTCTTCCAGTTATCCAAAAACATCAATATTTCTAGAAGGAACCGGCTCGCGCCATTCCAGTGACTCCTTGAAAGTAGTCTCAATACTTTTCAGCCACCCTGTATAAGAAAGAGGGGAGGCGCGGCGCCCTTAAGAGTCAAATTTGAGCCAAATTTGAAACATGATTTTCTCGAAACTGGTAGCTCCTCAGCAAAATCTGAATACATCTTTGAAAATTTCTCATTCTCAGCTTTCGAATGATATAGGTCTCATACAGAAGTTCCACCCCCCGATTACAACCTTCCCTAGTTAGGCTAAAAAAAAAGATCCAAAAAAATTTTTTTTTCAAAATTTCAAAAACTCAAAATCCCGAAAGCACCTGACGGATCATGACTGCAAACAAAGAAATGAGCTTCTTCACCATCTAAAGTTGTCCATTTTCCATTTTGGGTACTTTCAGCGACCCATAATTGGTTTTGGGAGAATTCTGAAAAAAGTTTTTTTTTTCATTTTTTTTCATTTTTTTTAAATTACTGGAATCAAAATTGGACCAAATTAGGGGTGTCCCATCATCCCATTGATATCTAGAATTGATCGATGATCGATTCAATCCGATCCAAAATTTCCCGTTTTGCTCATTGGTGATTTTTTGGACAGTAGCTGAAAATTTCAGGTAATTAATTTTGGAAATTAAAAAAAAATCCTAATTAGATTAATTAAAGCCTAATTAACTCACTGGCAAGATAATTAGCCTGTAGACTATTCTTTATTATGGCCAAATTTTGATTTTTCCGGTGACACGCGTTCTGAGCAACTGGGAAGGATTCCTTGAAGGGGGAGACTGTGTAGCACCTGAAAATGGGGTGTAAGTCTTTGGATCTCAATTTTTGAGATTTGAAATAGTTAGAATCAGAATCAGCGCTAAATTTCCTTTAAAATGAGTATAAACAAGCCATTTTTTTTTAATTTTGAAAGTCTGAAAATTCTGAAAATATTCAAAAATTTGGACTCAAAATTTTTTTCGAAATTTCTTTAGAAAAAAAAGTTTAAGAGGTTTTAAGAGAGGCTGATTTCAAAAATCATACTTTTTTTTATCAATACTGCTCGAAAACCCTCAAAAACACTTTCCGAAATTTTTTGGCCTTCCTAATTCCTAACCATAGCTCCTAGGCGAGACAGTTCCAAATACCGTAACTCGACGAATTTCGATTTTTGGCGTTTTTCATTAATATATTTGAAATCAGCGCTAAATTTCCTTTAAAATGAGTATAAAAAGCCATGTTTTTAAAAAAATTGAAAATCTGAAAAATCTGAAAATTTTCAAAAATTTTGGGCTCAAAAATATTTTTTGGAATTATTTGTCTGAAAATTTGTTTTCAGGGGTTTACAAATCACATGTTCATTTGTGATGGAAACTTCTCAAAACCTCAAAAAATACATTCCGAATCTTTTTGGGCTTCCTAATGACTAACAATGGCTTTTAACAACAAGCGAAACGGTTCAAAGTACCGTATCTTGACGAATTTTGATTTTGAGCGTTTTTCAAAAACAAATTCAAAATCAGCGCAAGATTTCCTTAAAAATGAGTATGAACAAGCCACATTTTTGAAATTTGTGAAAATCTGAAAAATCTGAAAAATTTGAAAAATTTGGGCTCAAATATTTTTTTCAAAATTTTCTCTGAATATTTTCTTCAAGGGGTTTCTAGATATGCTAATTTTGAAAATCACATTTATTCTTACTCAAAACGCCTCTAAACCCCCCAAAAACATCTTCAAAAACGTTTTGGGGCTCCTAATGCCTAACAATAGCAAGCCAGACAGTTCAAAGTACCGTGTCTCGACGAATTTTCATCTTCAGAGGTTTCCATTAACAAATCCGATACCAGCGCAAAATTTCCTTTAAAATGAGTATAAACAAGCCATATTTTGGAAAATTTTGAAAATTCGAAAAATCTGAAAATTTTCAAAAATTTGGGACAAAAATTTTTTAACGAATTTTCTGTCTGAAAACAAGGTTTTAGGGGTTTACAGACACGCTGATTCCAAAAATCACATTTATTCTCATTTATATCGCCTCTAAACCCTTCAAAACGACCTCCCCAAAACTTACAGTCCACCAATATAGGCATCGTCGTCTTCTAAACACTGGCTAGACACAAATCCAAAAAATGTTGGACCAAAAATCCAAAAAAGTATATAAACGTGCATTTTTCGATGTTGATTTAACACCTCTGACTCTGTCTTTTATATAGGAAAATGTGTTATATTTGAACAGCTTTCAAAGAATTAAAGGCCAAATTTTAATTTAGGGGAATTTCAATTTTTTGGATATTATAGTTTGTTTTAGGGGAAAATAAATATAGTTCAGTGTAACTGAACAAATAGAAAAATACATGAGATTTAGAAATTTTGAGATTTGCACGAAAAATCTGAAACTGTGAAAAATAATCCCGAAAAAAACTTTTTTTTTAAATATATGCACTTTGAACTCAATTATCTCGGTTACTGTAAAAGTTAGCAAGAATTTGTCAACTGATAAAATATTTAACATAATATCACAAACTTTTTATTAGTTGACCACTTTTTGATATCTCTTACAGTAACCGAGATAATTGAGCTCAAAGTTGATGGTTCGGATGGGCTTCTATTAGAGGAAATACGGTAATTTTCCAGTTTTCATCCCGAATTTATTATAATTTACACATCAAATGGAACCCCTTCAAAAATAAACCAAATCAATGAAAATGGATTACTGTAGTTTCTACAGTAAACCTCAAAAAAACATAAAAATACAGATCAATTATTGATCCATTGTCGTTGTTGTGGAATTATTTTCAAAACCCTGAATTTCGGCCTCTGGAGATTTCGAAAAATAGATGATTCTGGAGGCAGATGACTCGTGTCGAAGAATGCTGAAAACTCAATATTAAGCTCCGCCCCTTTTCCCATTTTTTTAACTCAAAATGGTCCACAAATGACTTAAAATGACTCAATTATTTCCAAATTTTTACAAATTTTTAGCCAAACAACTCACTTATCAATGCTGAAAAACAGTCTGATGGTATTATCCTGTAGGTGCTTACAGTATCTCGCATCGTGCTCCTCGGCGGAGCCGGGGCACGAGCAAGACGCTGTTCGACACGCCTTGGCGACGATTTCTCCAGTTTCAGCATATCTGTAAAACTAGAGGGTTTGGAGACTTTTGGACTGGAAATTCGGGATTTTTAGGGTGGGTTTAGGCTAGAAAACCTATTTTTCAAAGATTTTATTTCCAAGAATTTTGATGTTACAGTAATTTTCCTAAGCTCCGCCCACTTTTAATTACCGTTATCAGAAAATAAGGAAAACATTCTTCCTTTTTCTTAAACTTTTTTTGGAAAAATAATTTTAAATCATTTTGATAGTATTAGGTTGGCGGGAAAGTCTTTGTCACTTTTTCAATAGTTTATTTCTCAAAGAAAAAATAACCGAATAATTAATTATATTGTCCATCATTATCAACAACATGTCTCCAACGTTCCCTCAATTTATGGATTCCATTGCGGTAGAATCCAGCCGGGCGTGAGGCAAAGTATTGTTTGAGTGCCGCTTCGACCGCTCCACGGGAATTGAAGCTTCTTCCTTCGAAGGCACGTGTCATATCGCCAAATAACCAATAGTCGGAAGGAGCAAGATCAGGAGAATACGGGGGGTGAGGGAGAACATTCCATCCATATCCCATCAGCTCCTGCTTCACTTGTTTCGAAACATGTGGGCGAGCGTTATCATGTTGATAGTACACTTTCTTGTCTTTCAGGGCCGAACGGTCGACTGCTTTCTTGAGGTTTCGTAGTTGAGTAGTGTAGAGGTCTCCAGTTATTGTTTTGCCCTCGGGCAGAAGTTCCCAGTAGATGGGGCCGTCCACTCCCCACCACACAGAGAGCATAACTTTTTTCGGATGAAGGTCGGGTTTGGGGACATCCTGTGGGCTCTCTCCTTCTCCAACCCACTGGGATTTCCTGTGGTGATTATCGTAGAAGACCCACTTCTCATCTCCGGTTATTAGCCGGTCCAGCCATCGATCGCCCGCGTGGAGAGTGAGAAGAGTAATCGAATCGTCGACTCGGCGGTCAAGGTTGGCTTGAGTCAGGTGATGAGGTATGAATCGACCAAAAAGTTTTCTCATTCCAAGAGACTTCAAACCTTCAAGGACTGTGCTATGGTGAACTCCGAATGTGACAGCTAGTTCACGGCTAGATTGAAATGGATCCGATTGCAATGCGTGCTTCAGCTTGTCCAAATCCAACTCACGGGGTCTCCCAGAGCGATCCTTTTCATCGAGCGAGAAGTCATCTTTTTCGAAACGATGGAACCAATTGCGAATAGTATTGTAGTGAGGGGCATGTGTGTTGTACACATTCTTCAAGAAAGTTTCCGAATCCTTCATCGTGGTGTGAGACAGGAAGAGGTAAATCAAAACATGTCTGATGTGAATAGCAGTGGGAACAAACATATCGTTTCAATTACAGATGAGGAGCAGGGAAGGAGATGGGGACTTGTTTATATTGGAAGGTTCTTATCACCTTGTTATTCACTAAAGTCGATATCATACACAGCCTCCATATACGAGAACAGTGATTAAACAAACAGAGTGACAAAGACTTTCCCGCCAACCTAATAATTCAAAACTTTTAGAGTCTACAGTAATCCTCGAGAAACCCCGCCCACTTTTTTCCAATCGTGATTTTTAAATTTGGACCACTTTCGAACTACAGTAATCCAAACATTTTTTTTTGAAACTTTGAAACTTTTCGTTTCTTGAGCTAAATTAAGTTCCACCCATGTTTTGGAAAATCTACAGTAATTCGGAAAATTGGACAACGAAAAATTATCATTTTCAATTCTCAAAACTACAGTACTCATCGAGAGCTACAGTAATCTCAAAAATTTGAAAAAAACATTTTTTTTTGGAAAAAAGTTATTTTTCGAATCCTACTGTAGCTCCTGACAATTGGAAAGCAAGCTTTTTTTTGTCTACAGTGACTCTCAGAAACTACAGTAATCGAAATTTTGAACCTTCAAAACTCCTCATAAGCTCCGCCCCCTTATTTTCTACCGTAACCTTTATAAATGAATCTCCGCTTTTTTCGACTTTTTTGTCTACAGTAATCTCATAGTCAGAAAGTTACAGTAATCCAAAGTTTTTTGTCCAATGTTTTATCTTCAACATTCAAGGATACCTACAATACAAAAAAAATAGGCTCCACACATTTTCTCGCGAACTACAGTAGTCCTCTGAGAAAAGAGGATTACTGTAAATGCCAAAACATCCCCCGAAAAACTCATTTTTGGCATTGGGAATGCCCTCAGAATCGCCGGAAAAAGAGATTTTATCTCAAATTTTTTTTTTCGGGTGGGGGGTGTCCAAAAAATGAAGTGTCCCTCATAAATCATCAAATAATCTTCCGAAATTCTCTTTTAAAATCATAAATTAGATCCTTCTTAGAGATTACCATCAGATATTGGGTGCCGAAAATTTCTGTGGGGAACGATTTGGCGGAAAATCCAAAAAAAACGGAAAGAACGGAAAATTTTAATGGTTTGTATGTTCTTGATGATGATCGAGATTGATGAGTGAGGTCATTTAAAAAGTGGGCGGAGCTTATGAGGATTACTGTAGGCTTTGATTGATTTTTAGGCAAAGCTCATTTTGAAACAGTAATTTTTTCAGGAAATTAAATTTTTAAAAAACTTGGTTACTGTAGTTTAACTATAGCAGCTTTTCTGAGAGCACTTTCAATTCCAAAAATGAGTTTTGTAGGAGTTTTTAGTATATCCAGTAACTACAGTAATCCTCTGAAAAACTAAAAATTGGAAAATCTAAACTTTTTTTTTGAAAATCAATTATTGGGATTACTGTAGTTTTTGAGAAAATGGACGGAGTTTAATGTAGAGTCTACAGTAATGCTCTAAAATACAGAAAAATTGAAGTTTAACAACAAAAAATTCTGAAAGTTTCAATTTTCGATTTTTGGGTTACTGTAATTTTCTGATAGTGAGTTTGAGAGTTACAGTAAACAGTACGGTTCAATTTAGAAATGTCAAGGATTATTGTAGGAATCGAAAAATGTTTTTTGCGAGGATTACTGTAGTTAGTTTTCAAAAATATATTTTTTCATTTTGAATTTTCTGGTTACTGTAGTCTTTGAACTGTAACTTTGACTATGTAGATTTTGTGCTGTAGACTTTTTGGGATTTTCTCTTTTTTAGTTCTTGATAGGTTACTGTAGTTAGTCTCTGGAAATTTAGTTTTTAATTTGTCTGAAAATGAGTTTTTTCGAAACAATTTTTTTGGATTACTGCATCTCTCTACAGTACCCTTACTACCGTACCTTCTCAACACCTTGCTCACACAACTATGTGTGATTCCTAACTGCTTCGCAATATGAATCTTCTTCATTCCCTTTTTATAGCATTCCACAATTTTCTGTCGATCACAAGTGAGGAGCGGCCGACCGGAGATGTACGGTCGACCGTATCGATTTCTGGATGGGACCACGTTGGACACTGAAACATGAAATATTTGGCGGAAAATAAGCCAAAATTCAGGAAAATTGGAGAATTGTGAGCTCTATTGGAATTTTTTGAAAAATTGAAATTTCCAAAAATTTTCAATTTTAGGTTTTTTGCGATTTTCTGCGATTTTTTTGGTATTTTTCAAAACTCACTTTTCTGTTGGTCCTTATCTTTTCCGATACATGACGTGGCAAATTTTTCGATTTGTAGGTCCGGACGACGAAACGCTTTGGATAGTTTTTCCAGGGCGGCCAGGGAGGAGCCTGGAACATTTTTTTTGGAAAAAAGAATCATAAAATCTGGGAATTTTTGGTTTTATGTTTGGTTTATTTGGTTTTTTATTGTGTTCCACACAATAAAAAAGGATTTTCAGCTGAAAATAGGCTAGAAACACGAATGTTCAAAAATTTGGCTGAAAATTTTAGAATTTATATCTGAATTTCTGAATTTCTGAATTTCTGAATTTCTGAATTTCTGAATTTCTGAATTTCTGAATTTCTGAATTTCTGAATTTCTGAATTTCTGAATTTCTGAATTTCTGAATTTCTGAATTTCTGAATTCCTGAATTTCTGAATTTCTGAATTTCTGAATTTCTGAATTTCTGAATTTCTGAATTTCTGAATTTCTGAATTTCTGAATTTTTGAATTTCTGAATTTCTGAATTTCTGAATTTCTGAATTTCTGAATTTCTGAATTTTGAATTTCTGAATTTCTGGATTTCTGAATTTCTGGATTTCTGAATTTCTGGATTTCTGAATTTCTGGATTTCTGGATTTCTGAATTTCTGGATTTCTGAATTTCTGAATTTTGAAATTTTAAAAATCCGAAAAAAAAGCATTTGTTTTGTAAAACTTTGGCGCTTTCGCGATTTCTGGAATCCTAGCAATTTTTAGAAATTTTCAATTTTTTGGAATTCCGAAAAATTAAAATTTATTATTTTTTAAATTTTCGAGAAATTTCAAATTCAAAAAAAAATTCCCTGAAGATTTCTGTTAATTCCAGACAAAAAAATCGGGGACCAATCTGAAAATTCATTTTAAAATCTCGAAAAAAAAAATTCGAAAATCAATTTCAAATTCTTTTGCTATTTTGATTTTTGAAAGTTCAATTTCAGTTGAAAAACTTGGCTTCGAATCAAAAAAAAAAGTTTAACCTAATATTTTTTTTGGAATTTTGAATAATTCTGAAATTTTCAATTTTACTGGAATAAAAATTTCAAAAAATCGATTTCAGTTTTTTGTTTCCAGAACTATTAAAATAGTAATTTCAGACATTAAAAAAAACTGAAAAAAATCCCAAAAACTCACTCGACGGATGTCCATTGCTGAGCACTTTTTGAGCAGCGAAGCTGCTCAATAAAGCTGAGTTCTGGATCAAAAAATTGATAGGAGGGAAAATACTACTCGATTGAGGAATTTCTAACATTTTTGGCAAGAAGATTGATGAAAATTGACAATAAATGAACATCAGAAGAAGCTCCGCCCCGTTTTTGGGGTCAAACAAGAAGGCGGAGCCAAGTCAGTAGGGGGCGGAGTCTGGTTTTGAACGGCTGGGTACATGCTGTCGGAGGATGGGATTACGGTAGATATGGTCATGAGAGATGGATATCTTCTAAAGGAAACGGAAACGCGTGTCTTCAGTTTTTTTTCGCTTCTAATTTCCTTTGATTTTGCCGCCAAATGCGGCAAAAAAGTGACAAATTGATGAGTGTGTGTAGCAAAAATGACATGAAAATTTTGTAATAGAGAAGGTTGAAGATTTATGGGATTTTTTGGATTTTAAGGTTCTTTGATGGATTTGGAACGTTTTTCGGCTATTTTAGACTGATTAAAGCGTATTTTAGGTCATTTTTGGAATGTTTTTTAGGTGATTTTAATTGTTATAGGCTGTTTTTAGAACTTGATGGATTTATTTGGAGACGCAGTTTGGGACTACTGTAGTCGTTAGTCTGGTTACTGTAGCATTAGGCAGAATATAGCATACTGTAGAATGGCTGAAAACCTACCGAATCCTCCAATAAAAAATCTAATTGGATAACTGTGCTTTCAGTTTGTGGTTACTGTAGCTGAATAGGGTTACTGTTGCATTAGACTCCAGACAATATGAAATCAGTCTAATTTCAGATTTTTTAGAATTTCAAACTTCTGGGAACCATTTTTTTTGTTATTATCATGGACATCCGGACGCACAGACAAACTTAAAATATTCAAAACTACCGTAGTAGGGTTACTGTACTTTAAAAAGTTCAAGTTATCACTACAGTAATCATCATCAGAATTTCTTCAGAATTTCTTCAGAATTCTGATTTTTGAATTTTAAAGTTTTTTTTTGTTCCAAACGTCACTCACACACACCCTAATCTGTCATTTCCAATTTTCTGATCGATCAATCAGTTTCACACTGATCGCTTATCACTAATTTATCACTTATAAGTAAATATAATCTTAATTGGTTCTTCTTTTTTTTATTTCGAAACTTGATGAACCGCAAAAACCCCCAAATGAGGTCATTAGAGACAATTCTACAGTAACCCTACATTACAGTAGTCCATTAAAACCTGCCCATCTAACTTGTTTGTTTGAATGTCGGTCAAACCTAGGCACACAATTGTCCAAAACTAGTCAAGAATGGCTTGAAAAAATATGCCAAAAAAAAGATCTGTCTGTTTGTCCAAATGTCCGGATGTCTACAATTTTCCAAACAAGGGGCATAAGCAGGTTGAAAATGCTCTGAAAGTTGAGAAACATGGCTTAAAAATCAGGATTTTTGAGGCTGGCGCGCCGTCGGCGCATCGGCGCCATATCAAAGAATCAGTACGTGATGGTGATTAATTGATAAATGAGACAGATGTATCAGATAGGTTGAAAAGTGTGATAAGAAGATAAGAAGAAGAAGATAGGAGGAACATGACAAATTGGTTCCGATTCTTTTTACAATGAGACAGAGAAAAGTGCGAATCGGTTTTGTCGGCGTTTTGGTGTTTGGCGGGTTTTCTGATGAAAAAGAAATAATTAATTTTGGAAATTTCGATGTTTTTTTCAGCGAATCAAAAGAGATGGAAATTTGATTTCGATTCGAGTGATTAGGTGTGAAAAATCACACCCGTTATCACTGGAGAAAAATTGGAAAAGTTTTTAGGGGGTTTGAGAATTTCATTGGGGGCAATACTTGTTATCCGGGCCTACGCGGGCCCTCCCATAACTTCTTTCAGAATCAATGTTTTCGAACCAACTTAATCAGATATGATAGAGATCCACGAGTGCTACAAAACGGTATTATTTGGAATACTGTATCTTGTCTATGAACAGAGTTACAAAGCAAAAGGAGCAAAAAAAGCAGGCCCGGCCCGGGCCTGCCGGGCCCAGCGAGAAAAGCCACTTTATGATCTGTAACTTTGTTCATAGATAAGATACAGTATTCCAAATAATACCTTTTTTGTAGTACTCGTGGAGCTCTATCATATCTGATTTAGTTGGGTCGAAAATATAGATTCTGAAAGAAATTATGGCAGGTCCCGCCAAGGCCCGGCAAAGGTCCGGATTACAAGTATGATTGGGGGCCTGAAAATTTGAAATTTCAGAATTTTTCGGATTTCTTGGGAAATTTTTAGAATTTCAAAATTTCCGCTCCAATTGAAAAAATTGAACTTGAATTTTCAGAAATCTAGCATTTTCGGAATTTTTAGAATTTGGAACAGAACATTTCCAAAGGGTTGTCTGAGATTTTTCGTTTTGCGTCATGAATTTTTTTTCTGAGTAATACTTAATCAAATTTTGGGTCAAAAAAAAAGAAAAAATTGAATTTATTCAGTGCAAAAATTGTCTCAAAAATGTCCTCACAAATTTCCAGCCAGATTGTTTTTGGCAAATTGAGAATTTTCGAAAAATAATCTAAAGTTGGTTTTTTCTCAACTTAAAATTTCAAACAAAATTCTGTTTGGTTTTTTTTCCGAACATTTTGGAAATTCAATTGTTCGAATTTTCGTAATTCCTGGTTTTTCGAATTCCAAAGAATCTGTGTTAATTTGTAACATTTTGAAGTTTTTAGATTTTTTCTTTTTTGTTTTTTTAAAGGTTTTGAAAAACTCAAATGTTAGGAGTTTCCTGTAATTTCGGACTTTTTAGAATACCTAATTTTTGAAATTTTGAATTTAAAAAATTTTAGAACGTTTTCCAATGAATTCGAACTACATACACTAGAAAAATGAAATCAAGTTTTTCAGCTGTGTTTTTTCTTAGAAATGTCATTATGATTGGTTTTTGATTTTATTTGATTTCCAAAATTGTGATTGAACGAAAAATTTTTTTACGGCATCACACATTTTTTTTTCTTTATTTTTAGACTGAAAATGCACTAAAATTTTAAAAAGTTTAAATTTTAAAAATTCAGAAATTCAAAAATTTAAAAATTCTAAGGGTTATTTTACTTCTTTTATTTGTACAGGTCCCATTTCTTGCCAAATTATCTATTGATTTTCCCCATGCATTGCAAATAAATATATTATTATTATTACTGTAGGGTTACTGTTTTCGAAAAAATTTAAAAATCAAAAATTCTAAAATTCTAAAATTCTAAAATTCTAAAATTCTAAAATTCTAAAATTCTAAAATTCTAAAATTCTAAAATTCTAAAATTCTAAAAATTTATAGCAACTGACCCCAATGTACTATGTAATTAGTGCATTCACGTTTTGCATTTTAAATTGTACTTTTTAAAAATTCACTTTGCTAAAATCAGTGTTCTCTAGTTTTCCTGATAAGAGCACAACTTCACTGATAACCGGGAAATTGATCAGATTGTATTTTGAACTCGATCTTGATCAATTGAAAAAAAAATTCTTTAAAAAATGGTTTAAGCGTCAGATGTCGTCTGGAAAAGCTGAAAAAAATTTATTACGAAAAAAGAATTAAAAAATGGAAAATCTTTATTTTCAGAGATGATCATTTTTTAAATTATAAAATTTCTAAAAATTCGTATCCCTAGATCTGGAAACAATTTGAACCACTGATCCTCTTTGGATATTTTTCTGACAGCATAATTGTTTTTTGAATTCGTTCCGATAAATTTCCGATCGAATATAATAGACGTAGAACGTTTGAGAATAGGAGATGGCCGCGAAAATTACCTGTAAATTCAAAAATTCTAAAATTCTAAAATTCTAAAATTCTAAAATTCTAAAATTCTAAAATTCTAAAATTCTAAAATTCTAAAATTCTAAAATTCTAAAATTCTAAAATTCTAAAATTCTAAAATTCTAAAATTCTAAAATTCTAAAATTCTAAAATTCTAAAATTCTAAAATTCTAAAATTCTAAAATTCTAAAATTCTAAAATTCTAAAATTCTAAAATTCTAAAATTCTAAAATTCTAAAATTCTAAAATTTTAAAATTCTAAAATGTCTAAAAATTCTAAAATTCTAAAATTCTAAAATTTTAAAATTTCCAGAATATGTCCATGTCCACAACTCAAATTGCAATTCTAACGTCTTCTGAATATGCCACGTCATCTGAACCTTCAGAAGATCAATGGATTCTGAATTCACTAGCCGAAGCGGTCCCATGGACCATTGGAATCGTTATCACCTTGTTTAATTTAATCGGAAATTTCGGAAACTTCAATGTTATCATTGCCACCTGGCGGAGCAAGAATCTACAGGTTATCGCGGACATCCGGATAAACAGATGAACAGAAAATAACTAAAATTTTTGACAATGCTCATTTTGCTCATTTTCACGCGAATTTTCTGAATTTTGGCTTTAAAATTTCCAAAAAAATCATTTTCAGTCAAAACATGGTTGGCTCCTCGTCATCCTCTGCGCCGAGCACTCGATGTGTCTATTTTTCGAGTTTATCAATGTCTATTTTGCACTATCCGGGGTCCAAGTCACTCGAAGATCCTGTCTTCTCTATTTAACCCCTTATATTTTTATCTCATTTTTACAATCGACCACTTTTATCGCTTTGGCTATAGACGTCCTATTATCCTTCACTATTGTGAGCCGTTATCAGAAGTGGCAAACTATGGGTTACTGTACTTTCATGGCTTTTAGTCCGTGTCTACTTCCAATAGCCTTTTTGATTCGACTTTGGAGTCAGGTAAGACTTTAAAAGTGCATATCTCAAAAACTACAATAGCTATTCAAAATGTTTCAACTAATGAAATGTGTAAAACTAAATTTTACACATTTTTGTAGTTGACACCTTTTTCATAGCTACTGTAGTGTTTGAGATATGCGCATTTAAAGATTATGCGTCTTCGTGGGCGAGAGGAGGGGAGGACGACGCAGAGAAGCGAGAGTGTCTGCGTCTCTCACCTCAAACTTTAAAGGCGCATAACTCGCTTTATTTCAAAGTTAGAAAAATAAAAGTTAGATAGCTAGAAAGGAAATTTTCTTGGCTTTGGAATAAAATGCAATACTTATACTAAAATGTTTTTGGGAAAACTTTTTTTTTTTTGAAAATTTGAAAATTCTATTTTTTCAAGAAAGAGATTGTTTCGTTGTCTGCGTCTCACTGTGAGGGTGTCCAGGGCGTTTTGGTGCGCGCTAACTTTAAAGGCGCATATCTTTAAAACTATAATAGCTATCAAAAAGTAATTAATTACAAAATTACTCAGCAAAAAATTTTAAACTTTTTCATAGTTTCCACTTTTTCTCTAGCTACTGTAGTTTTTGAGGTATGCGTCTTCAAACTCTTCAGGGTGTCTCTTTATAAGAAGGCCACTCTGCAATGTTTAAAGGCGCATATCTCAAAAACCACGGTAGCTAGAAAAAAGTTGAAAACTACGAAATTGCTTAAAATAATATTTTAAATTTTTTTGTAGTTTTCAACTTTTTTCTAGCTACCGTCGTTTTGGAGATATACGCATTTAAACTTTTCAGATCACCGACGAGATCATTTTCCTGTGCAATCCTCCATTATCAATGGACGCAAAAGCCACAAATATCTGGGGTGGACTAATTACTTCAATTAATTTGTCAATTTTAATGATTTATGGATATGTCTACTTCTATTCACATCAGACGAGTGAGGAGAACTTTTTTTTTTGGAATTTCTGAATTTCTGAATTTATAAATTTCTGAATTTTTTAGAAAAACGAACATCGGATTCAAAAATGCCAAAAAAATAATGAAATCACTGACAATTTTGGTTTTAGTTTTCTGTTTTTCATGGGTTACTTGTATGGGAATGGTATTTTTGGTGGATTATTTTACGAATAATGAAATTATTATTATGTTGGTCCGGAGTTATGCGGTGAGCAATTTTTTTCGAAAATATGAAAATTCAAAAAAAAAATAATAATTTTCAAAATCGGAATTTTTGGAATTTTTAGAATTTTAGAATTTTAGAATTTCAGAATTTTAGAATTTTAGAATTTTAGAATTTTAGAATTTTAGAATTTTAGAATTTTAGAATTTTAGAATTTTAGAATTTTAGAATTTTAGAATTTTAGAATTTTAGAATTTTAGAATTTTAGAATTTTAGAATTTTAGAATTTTAGAATTTTAGAATTTTAGAATTTTAGAATTTTAGAATTTTAGAATTTTAGAATTTTAGAATTTTAGAATTTTAGAATTTTAGAATTTCAGAATTTTAGAATTTTAGAATTTCAGAATTTTTGAATTTTTGAATTTTTGAATTTTTGAATTTACAGGTAATTTTCGCGGCCATCTCCTATTCTCAAACGTTCTACGTCTATTATATTCGATCGGAAATTTATCGGAACGAATTCAAAAAACAATTATGCTGTCAGAAAAATATCCAAAGAGGATCAGTGGTTCAAATTGTTTCCAGATCTAGGGATACGAATTTTTAGAAATTTTATAATTTAAAAAATGATCATCTCTGAAAATAAAGATTTTCCATTTTTTAATTCTTTTTTCGTAATAAATTTTTTTCAGCTTTTCCAGACGACATCTGACGCTTAAACCATTTTTTAAAGAATTTTTTTTTCAATTGATCAAGATCGAGTTCAAAATACAATCTGATCAATTTCCCGGTTATCAGTGAAGTTGTGCTCTTATCAGGAAAACTAGAGAACACTGATTTTAGCAAAGTGAATTTTTAAAAAGTACAATTTAAAATGCAAAACGTGAATGCACTAATTACATAGTACATTGGGGTCAGTTGCTATAAATGGAGAGGGTAGAAAAAGAGTGATAAGTGATAAAAATGATCAGTTTCAAAGCTTTCCTCTTGGTTCTAATTGTTAAGGTTAGTTGAGTTTTCTGACTATCAACTTTGATCCTATATATCTCGGCTCTTGTAACAGATATTGAAAATTGGGAAACTGAAAAATTGTTTATCATAATATCACCAATATTTTATCAATCAACCAATTTTTGATACCACTCATAGGAACCTAGATGATTGAGCTCAAAGTTCAGACCTAATACCGAATCTCTGGCCTCATATATCTCGATTCCTGTAAAAGATACCAAAAAGTGGTCGACTGATAAAATGTTTATCATAATATCACCTTTTTTTATCAACTGATAGATTTTTGATATCTTTCACAGGAACTGAGATAATTCAGCTTTTAGACTCTCGATTCGTCAATCATAACTAGGCAAAACTGGAAGTGGGATCTTCCTATCAATTATCAGATAGATGCAAATGTGGAATCACAGTCAGTTAATTGAAAATCCAACAAATTTTTAAAATCAATAAAAGTTTAGCGTTAGAAAATTGGATTCGCGAAACCATCAGTTTTTGGGAAAATGAAACTTGCTTGACTTTTCGAGAAGGAATTTCCACGGTCAAGACTTATATGGTATTCCGTACTTCTAGTCTAGGGTAAGACATTCGGATAAACCGACACACGCACAAAGAAATTTTAGATCTTGTATCACAGAAATCGGAAAAGCGACAGGGCTGATTCATCCAATTGAAATTTGCTCATATCATCGATTATTTGGAGATATCAATTGGTTACTAGGTACTAAACCATTATTTCCTATCTTTCCAACTGACAACATTACAGTTGGAGCTCTAGGAGCCCAGGATGAACTCAGACGAGCGGATCGAGATGAGTATGTGAATATAACGGAAATGCTACGCTACTCTGAAATGAATGATTACGGTGTTGGCTATGATTATGGATCGGTTACACATCAAAGAAGTGATATACTGGATATGTTGGATTTGAATTATGAATTAACCCATGGACAGAGAGTTCGACCATCATTTGCGGATATTAAGAGGATTAATAAAGCGTATTGCACTCGTAAGTGTTGTATCTATAGCTCAAGTATCCTATTTTATAGACCAGCAAAAAAACTATTGCACAAATGACTGGGGAACTGAATATCTTAGAATTAGAATTTGTGAGCTTGTAAGCTTCAAAATAAGCCTAAACACGACTTTGATGCGTCGATTTTGATTTTCAGTCACAATACGCGATGCACGACCGCAACGCTTTGAAAATTTGAAAAACCGTCAGCAAAGCAAATTTTTAGCAATTTTAGGCTCATTTTGAAGCTCTGAACCTGTTACAGTTAATTATTTAGGAAATGTGAAATTCGACTAATTCTGAGCTCCAAAACGAGCTCAAACACGAATTGACCAGTTACTTTTGTTTTTGGGCTTATTTTGAAGCTCTCAGCCTAGAAATTTTTGAAAATTCTTGATTTTTAAGCAAATACCGGTCCGAACTATTGTCCCGAGGGTCGACCAAATGTTCCCTGTGAAAATGGAGGATATGTGGATTTAAAAAACTGTACAATTTGTATATGTCCCCCCCCCCCCCCCCCGGATTCAACGGTCGTTTGTGTAAAGGAGTACAACCGGGACATAGCAGGTGTGGAACTAGAGCACTCACTGCAAATGGGACATTTCAAGTGGTTAAAGCGAATGGAGCCATTGATTGTTATTTTGTTATTACGGTAGGTTATTTTGAACCCAAATGTCTCGGTTCCTGTAAAAGGTATCGAAAAGTTATCAACTGACAAAACTTTGTTAATTATATGATGAACATTTTATCAGTTGATCACTTTTTAATATCTTTTACAGAAACCGAGATAAATGAGCTCAAAGTTAAAAGATGTCCTCAACAACACTGTTACAAGTTTAAACTCGAAAATTTGTGACCTTAACTATTTGGAAATCAATTATCGGTCTGATTTTTCTTTGCAGTCAAAACGCTATAAAAACCGAGCTTCTACGATGACTTGCCGAGTTATGATATTTTGAAGTTTCTGAAGAGACGCAGACAGTCAGAGCATTCTTGTTTCTCTGCGTCTCTTCCAGAAATCCAAAATCTCATAGCTAATCTTCTTACTTTGGCGGGTTACATAGAAAATTATTTGTCGATTTAGAGAAAAAATACTGGATAATTGAAAACATAATTTGATTTTTTTTCCATGTTTCGAAAACTTCGAAATCTCCGTTTCCTATAAATTGTATATCAATCGAAACAAACATCCTGAAATTCTACATCTAACTATAGAATTTTCACATTCCTAGGTCAAAAATGAGACGAGTTTTACGCCTTTAAAGTTTTCCAAAAGAGACGCAGATGACGAGACCACACTCGCTTCTCTCCGCACTCCCATTGGCGCTTAAAGGGCGCGCTTACTTTTAAGGCGCATATCTTAAAAACTACAGTAACTATAAAAAAACGTTCAACTAAGAAAATGTGTGCAATTTCATGATGAGCAATTTTGTAGTTGAGATTTTTTTTAATGTTTGCTAGCTTTCAAGATAATTTGAAAAAACTGTTTATTAAATCAAAATTCGACTTTTGACAGAGAAATAAAAGCGATTCCAAGTAAAGTGACACCGATTCCAATGTATAATTGGATAATATCTTTTTTGCCTTGAATTTCTTTGAATAGAAAAATTGCCCATAAGCTGACAATGATTCCAGGCGCTTTGGAGAGGATTGGGTAGGCGATTACCTGAAACAAATGTTTTAAAACTTTCAAAAATTCTAAAATTCTAAAATTCTAAAATTCTAAAATTCTAAAATTCTAAAATTCTAAAATTCTAAAATTCTAAAATTCTAAAATTCTAAAATTCTAAAATTCAAAAATTCTGAAATTCTGAAATTCAGAAATTCAAAAATTCAAAAATTCAAAAATTCTAAAATTCTAAAATTCTAAAATTCTAAAATTCTAAAATTCTAAAATTCTAAAATTCTAAAATTCTAAAATTCTAAAATTCTAAAATTCTAGAATTCTAAAATTCTAAAATTCTAAAATTCTAAAATTCTAAAATTCTAAAATTCTAAAATTCTAAAATTCTAAAATTCTAAAATTCTAAAATTCTAAAATTCTAGAATTGTAAAATTCTAAATTCTGAAATTCTAAAATTCTGAAATTCTAAAATTCTGAAATTCTAAAATTCTAAAATTTTAAAATTCTAAAATTCTAAAATTCTAAAATTCTAAAATTCTAAAATTTTAAAATTCTAAAATTCTAAAATTCTAAAATTCTAAAATTCTAAAATTCTAAAATTCTAAAATTCTAAAATTCTAAAATTCTAAAGTTCTAAAATTCTAAAATTCGAAAATTCTAAAATTCTAAAATTCCAAAAAATTTAAAAATCCTAAAATTCTAAAATTCTAAAATTCTAAAATTCTAAAATTCTAGAATTCTAAAATTCTAAAATTCTAAAATTCTAAAATTCTAAAATTCTAAAAATTCCAAAAGTTTTAAAATTCTAAAATTCTGAAATTCTAAAATTCTAAAATTCTAAAATTCTAAAATTCAAGAAAATCGACAAAGCTTAGAACTATGAGTTCTAGGCTCAAAATAGTCCAAAATTCACTATTTTCGTGTCAGAATTAGTCACAAAATTCAAAAATCAAAGTCCCAACCTGATCCAAATGTTGATTAGCCATGAAAAACGTGGTCACAGCAATTCCATACAAAATTCCGGACACTATAGATGGCATCGATAGTTCAGCATTGACCAGTGGTGTATTCTTTTTAACACATGCATAAATGAAAAAGATTACTGTAGATGTGACAAATGATCCAAGACAGTAAGACAGGATATAGGCACGAACGTCTTGGGCGGATCCCGGTTCATTGGCAATTATGTAGTTAATTGGAGTCAGAAAATTGCCATATAGGAATCCAACGAAAATAGTGAGGAAGAGACATCTGGAAATATCTCAACAACTAGACGAGCTAGCAAAATTTTTCCAACTACAAAATTGCTCAGCATAAAATTTTACGCATTTTTGTAGTAGACAACTTTCCACTAGCTACTGTAGTTTTCAAGATATGTACCTTGAAAGTTGCACGCGCCACCGCGCCCACGTGTGAGGGACAGGATAGACGCAGAGAAGCGAGAGTGTCTGCGTCTCTTCTGGAAAACTTTAAAGGCACATGACTCGGTTTATTTTTGACCTAGAAATATGAAATCTAGATTGTAATTTCGGGATCTTCTTGGCGATATAAAATTCGAGCAAAATTCGAATTTTCAAAAAAATCAAAAACTTCTGAAATTATTTTTCATCGTGTTGTTTATCATTTGAGAGTTGGGAAATTTTTCTTTCAAAGTATTTTACTTTCATGTTCCTAGGTACGAAATGAAGTGAGTTATGCACCTTTAAAGTTTGAGAAGAGAGACGCAGACACTCTCGCTTCTCTGCGTCTCTTCACGCCTCTCGCTGTGGAGCTAGCAGTCGACAACTTTAAAGGCACATATCTCAAAAACTACAATAGTTATCAAAAAGTTCTCAACTGCAAAAAAGTATAAAATTTTATGCTGAGCAATTTTATAATTGTCTATTTTTGTCTAGCTCTTTTAGTTTTCCACATAAATCCCCTCAAACTTACAGTATCCGTTTTCCCATTGAAACCTCTTTAGTTACCAATGAATCCTTATTATAATCCTCTTCTAAACTCCATGGAGCTGGACGAACTTTTGATGGGACATGCTTAATTGGGGCGTAGATGGCACCGCCCACACATACAGTAACCACACCCAAAATATTCAACCAGTCGGATTTTGGATATTGATGGGGGTTGGCAAATAGGCCGAAACGTGTGACAGCCCAACCGACGACACCTGGGATAATTAAATAAGAAATTTTGATTTGAAAGATTTGAAAACTTACAAGTTACAGTATTCCACAATAAATACCCAATTGCCAGTCCTATCCCATCCATGATGAGACAGTTAGAGAGTTCCCTGAAGAGTCAAACTTTAAAGGCGCATATCTCAAAAACTACAGTAGCTATAAAAATGTTGTTAACTAAAAAATTGCTCAGCTTAGAATTTTACACATTTTTGCAGTTGACAACTTTTTGATAGTTACTGCAGTTTTTGAGATATGCGCCCTTAAACATCGCCCGGCTCTCCTGCCGTATGCGCGACGAAGAAAGCGAGAGACGCAGTGAAGCGAGAGCAATCTCGTCGTCTGCGTCTCTCTAGGCAAACTTTAAAGGCTCATAACTCGCTTTGCTTTTGACCTAGACACTTGAAAACTAGATGGTTAGATAGAGAATTTTGTGTTCTTTTGAATGGTATAAAATCTTAAAAAATTCTAAATTTAAAAAATTTCAAAAGTTGCTTCAATTTTACAAACTTTTCACATTGATTACAACTGTTGTGTTTATTCAAATCCTCATTAGATTTCCTCTCAAAATAACTAACTTCCGTTTTTCTGAGCCGAAAATGAAGCAAGTTATGCGCCTTTAACGTCTGTTATGCGCCTTTAGCGTCTCGCCCCTCAAACATTAAAGGTGCATAACTCGCTTCATTTTTGACTTAGAAATCTGAAAATTGCAGCATTAGATAGAGAATTAAATGTTCTTTCGAATGATATATAATTCATATGCCTTCAAACCTACCAATTGAATAAAACATCCCACTCAGCATGGCTATGGGATGTATTGGTGCTGGTGTAGTAGTCAGAGCTACAATAACCCCAACCAAAAGTTGTCCCAGGGACTGGACCCATTGAAAATACAAACCATCTCCTTTATGAAACCATTGTAAAGGGACATAGGTGGATCCAAAGGTAATTGCAGAGACCACAGCACACACAATACCCAGGTATGTGTCTTTTTCCATTTTTTTGTTTGAAAAATTCGAAAATTCAAAAATTGGAAAAAAATTTATTGGAATTCAAAAAAGTATCTGACTGGTCGTTTGAGGAGTAAAATGGACAGTTTGAGAACAGAGAAATTTATATACAGTCGGGGAAAAATTTGAAATTCAAAAATTTTCAGATGATGACTTTTTTTTTGGAAAGGGGAACAGATAGAAAATACGAAAGGATTATGTTGAAAACGTATAGAAAAAGTTTAGAAATTTGAAAAAGTGCTGAAAATTTTGGGAAAATAGATTTTAGGAAGTTTTGGAAACATTTTTTTTTTGAAAATTTTTGATTTTTTTTACTTTGTAATCAGGAACAAAACACTAGTTAATAGACTGATAAACTGATAACTGACAAACAAGATCATTTTCAATTTTTTTCAAAAATTGAAAGTTCAAATTTCCGGGCGATTCTCATGGTATTCAATGATATCCTGATAGATTCCTTTGACTTTTGCGATGAAGGATCCCAAGATGACCGGTTTGGCAGGGATGTCTGGCATTGATGTCACTTTCTGGAAATTTCAGAATTTTTTGAGAAATTTTTAAATTTTTAAAAATTATCCACAAATAGGCTGGAACGAGCTTCTATCATATACCGTAAAACCTGTAGTAGAAGGGCCAGCCCTTCTATTGTTCCAAGGTAGCTCTGGAGGGTCTTTCTATTACAGGGGCCCTTTAATTAGAGGGAGCCCTTCTATTTTTCCAAGCCCCTCTCGGACGACCCTTCTCTTCTAATACATGTTTTACGGTAAAAATATTTAAAAAAAGGCAGAAATTATCAATAGAACAAATTTCCATTTTCGAAAAAATTTGTTTTTGAATTACCTCCAAAATGGCGGTGAGCGCTGGAAGAAGATAAGCGGAGACACGGGGATAGGCCAAGTCGTAGGTGATTTTGAGCTGAAAATATTAGTGCTGGAAATTTTGAAAATCGAAAAATTGTATTTCTTCGGATTACTGTAGTTTTCTTTTCGAGTTATCACAAATCACAAATCATAAAAAAATGGTGATCTGTGATATGTGTTATTTCAACCTTTTCCGATTTTTTTCTCTAAAAAATGAGAAAAATCAAAAAATCAGGAAAAAAAACTTTTTTGAACTAGAACTTTGAAATTTAATCTGTGAAATATTGTGCAATTTTTTACAATTTTTTGAAATCAACAATTTTTTAAAATGCGACATTTTTCCAAATCGATCACTGATCCGAATTTCAGAATTTCAGAACTCAATATTCAGAACTCATCGATTCCGGAATTTTTCAACACTTCTGAAATTCTGATTTTCAGATTTTCAGAATTTCAGAATTTTGGGATTCCAAAATTTCTGAATTTTTGATTTTCTGAATTTCTGAATTTTTGATTTTCTGAATTTCAGAATTTCAGAATTTCTGAATTTCTGAATTTCTGAATTTCTGAATTTCTGAATTTCTGAATTTCTGAATTTCTGAATTTCTGAATTTCTGAATTTCTGAATTTCTGAATTTCTGAATTTCTGAATTTCTGAATTTCTGAATTTCTGAATTTCTGAATTTCTGAATTTCTGAATTTCTGAATTTCTGAATTTCTGAATTTCTGAATTTCTGAATTTCTGAATTTCTGAATTTCTGAATTTCTGAATTTCTGAATTTCTGAATTTCTGAATTTCTGAATTTCTGAATTTCTGAATTTCTGAATTTCTGAATTTCTGAATTTCTGAATTTCTGAATTTCTGAATTTCTGAATTTCTGAATTTCTGAATTTCTGAATTTCTGAATTTTAGATGTTTTGAATTTTGGATGCTTTGAATTTCAGAAAATCGGAACATTCTAAAAATCCCACTGACCTGCTTCAAATCAAATGGCACTTCCTTATTCTCCTCTTTACAGTATTTCTCCAGGAATTCGAAGTAAATTTCCAAATATTTTTCCTTGTTTTTATGACGGTCTTCTGGAGTCAAGCAGGTGTTGAAAACTCTTGCCAAGTCGGTGGCAGCCAATCCAAAATGGATCATCTGCAAAATGTCGAAAATTCCAAAAATTCCAAAATTCCATAAATTGCCTGGAAATCAATCAATTTCTTGAAATCCCCCTCCTCGTCCCACATGATATTAGCCGACCACAAATCTCCATGGACCAAAACTTTTTTCATTCCTAATTTATTGGGAATACGATCCAATTGATCCGCACAAATCATGTCTGGAAGCGTTTTCGCGAATTTTTCCGTCAACTTTTGCATTTCCTCATCCGGAAAATGAGCCATTAGAGTGTTGTTGAGCTGGAGGAACCAATCCTAAAAATTTACATTTTTTGGTTAAAACAAAATTGAACAATTGGACAAAATTGGGCTGGAAATGTGGTTCGAAATATGTCGAAAGTCATGAAAACAGTTTGAAAACGCATATCTCGAATACTAAACACGCTAGAACAAAATTGTCAACTACAAAATTACTCATCATAAAATTTCACACATTTTTGTAGTTTTCAACTTTTTTCCAGCTACTCTAGTTTTTGAGATATACGTCTTTAAAGTTGGGCGATCCTCTTGAGAAGGAGCGGCGCTCCTCCCCCTTGTCGGCCGCAAGGAGACGCAGAGAAGCGAGAGTGTCTGCGTCTCTCTCCTGAAACTTTAAAGGCGCATAACTCGCTTTGTTTTTGAGCTAGAAAGACAAAAAAAACCAGTTAGAAAGGAAATTTTGCAAGCTTTCGAATGATATAACATATATAAAAATTTTTCAGAAAAATGTTTATTTTGAAAATTTAAAATTTTTAATTTTTTTCAAAATTTTCAAATTTCCCGCCAAACCAAACCAACCCTAAATGTCTGATAGAGTCCATAGAGTCCTTGATGGGGTGCCTTTTTTCTCTCATTCTCATCCATATCGATAAATTCAACTTGTAATTTTGCCAAATTCTCCAAAACTTGAATCATTTGAGAATCGGAAAAATTTTCCAGAGGAGACAAAGTTTTGACATTTTCCACTAGCTCAATTGCAATACACCCTTTTGTGTAGTCTCCGGTTTCTGGCATAATTTGAATTTCGCGCCCAAAATAGTATTTGGGGAGAATGGAAAGGGGGCGGAGTTTCGATTGAATGTAGTTGTAGAAAAAGATTTCGGAGTTGTGGCACTGAAAAAATGATAATTGAATGAGGCTACAGTAATCCTACAGTAATCCCAAATTCAGAAATTCAGAAATTCCAAATTACTGTAGCTCTACAGTATCCTGCGTCAACTAACCGGTGGCAAAAACTTGATAAACTCATCGGAAATGTCAGCAGCAATTTTTGGAGTCAACTTTGTAGCCTGCGCTTCGAGAGCCTCTGAAATTTCAAAAAATTCTGTTTTGAAATGACTGAAAATGGCTGAAAATGCCCAAAGTTTTGATTTTGAAATTTCAAAATCGGACAAAAATGACCCCCCCCCCCAAAATTCAGAACTCACGGAGCAAGGCAACTGGAGATCCAATTTTGAGCGCAAATCTCTTTGGATACGGTAATTTTTCCCCAGCTTCCACAGTCCAGTCCACGTCAGCAATGCCCAGAAGCGATTGGAGGCCCTGGAATCGAAATTTTTGAATTTCAAATTTATCTCAAAAACTAAAAAAGCTAAAAAAAAGTTGTCAACTACAAAATTGCTTAGCATAAAATTTTACACATTTTTGCAGTTGACAACTTTTTCCTAGCTGTTGTAGTTTTTGAGATATGCGCCTTTAAAGTGGGCGCGCCCTTTAATTGTCTATGACAGTGCGGAGACGCAGAGAAGCGAGAATGCCTGCGTCTCTCTCCTTAAACTTTAAAGGCGCATAACTCCCTTTGTTTTTGAGCTAGAAAAACAATAAATAAATAGATAGAATGGGAAATAACACTAGCTTTCGGATAATATTTAAAAAATTGGAGAAATTTTTTTAAAAAAATCTGAAAAATTCGAAAGTTTCTAATGGTTTCATGCTTATTGCCTTGAATTTTGCTTGAATTTATGAAAAACCATATGTTCGGGTTAATTATCAACTTGAAGCAACACAATAAAGACGCAGAGAAACGAAAGCATCTCGTTGTCTGCGTCTAACCCATTCCTCACTAGCTACTGTAATTTTCGAGATACGCGTCTTTACAGTAATGAAGGAAGCAAAGTCGGAGAAATGGACTTACCACTCCCTCTGCCAGTGGTTTAATCGATTTCTCATCTCCAATTTTCAAATTGATATCCTTTTTGGCACATTCTCTAGCAATTTTCTCCACATCCTCCCATTGAAGTGTTGTTCCGAGGAGTCCATGCGACAATTCAGCGTTTTTCACCATTTTTGGAATCGCAGCGCGTCTGAAAAGTAGATTTTATGAATCGAAAAAATAAATCAAAGGGAGATCCTATATCATTCTAAAGCCAATGAAAATTTCTTTAAAACAGAACAAATGTTATGTTTCTGAAACAAAAATGAAGCGAGTTATGCGCCTTTAAAGTTTGAGAAGAGAGGGAGGGAGACTCAGACAATCTGCGTCCCCGCGTAAAATTCAAAGGCGCATATCTCTAAAACTAGTAAGGCTATTTAAAAGTTGTCAACGAACAAAATGTGTAAAATTCAATTCTAAACATTTTCACAGTTTACAACTTCTTTCTAGCTACAGTAGTTTTAGAGTTATGCGTCTTTAAACTTTCAGGCCACAAGAACGACATTTCTCTTGTACTACCATGGCTCCTTTTATACTAATGATTTTTGGTTGAAGCAAAAAAAGTTAAGAAAAAATTCTTATCAGTGATTTTATGTCTCCGGTTTTTATGTCCTGGTCAAGGAAAAAAATTGATCAACATACATAAAAATGATAAAAAAATGAGCCTTTTCAAAATGAGAATTTTCTAGCCGACGGCTAGAAAATTTGATGTTTTTTTTCAGTTTTGATAATTTTTTTAAGTTGAAGCTAATTTTCAATTTCAGACTAAACACTCTCAAACGTAGTATGAAAACGTGCGGATGGCAAGAAAGTTGATACATGTTGGAAAAATCTAAATATCTCTAAAGCTAAAAATTCTAGGAGAAAAACGGCAACTACAAAATTGCTCAGCATAAAATTTAAAAGATTTTTGTAGTTGACAACTTTTTTCTAGCTACGTAGTTGTTGAGTTATACGTCTTTGAAGATGGCGCGCCTTCTTGGGCGAGAGGAGAGAGGGGGGGGGGGGACGCAGAGAAGCGAGAGTGGTCTCGTTGTCTGCGTCTCTCCTCTCAAACATTAAAGGCGCATAACTCTCTTTATTTTTGACATAGAACACTGAAAAGTAGATAGATTCGAAGTAAATTTTATTAGCTTTCGGGTGATATAAAATATTGAGGAGGAGAGAAAGACGCAGAGAAGCGAGAATGGTCTCGTTGTCTGCGTCTCTCCTCTCAAACTTTAAAAACGCATAACTCGCTTCATTTCAGCCATAAACAAATGAAAATGAGATACTTTTGAAGAAAACTTTTTCAGCTTTTGAATGATATACAGTAATCTATAAATTTTTTTTTTAATTTTAAAATTTTGAACTAAAGAAAAAATTCTAGCCACCTCTCCGGGTAGACGAAAAATTGATGTCTTTTTTCTTATCAGTATATTTTTATACACACATGTACACATGACATTTTGGTTTCCTGTTTGAAATTTGGCAAAAAAATTATGTCACTTTTGGAATTAGATAAAAGTTTAAAATTTGGAAATTTTGAAAATTTTTCAAAAATATATGTTTTTCGAAACTTTCACAGAATTTATAAACTTTCAAATAAAGTGAAAGTACACAAAGTCCGATTTGTTTGGTTTACTCTGTTTTAATAGTTCACGATTTCTAAAAAAGTTGGGTCAACACATTTTTTTTGAATTCCACACGTACCTGATATTGGTCTCCGTCATGAAGTTTCGATACATTTTTATCTGGAATTCTCGGAATTTGGAATCACCGGAAAATTGAAAATTCGAAAAAAAATCTGAAAACATCAGATAATTTTTTTTTTCGTAAAATTCACAAAAATCGAAAATTAAAGGATTGTGGTGGAAAATGTACAGGAAAAGTCCAGAAATTTGAAAAGTGCTGAAAAATTAGGAAAATTGAGAAATTGAGAAATTCAGAAATTCAGAAATTCAGAAATTCAGAAATTCAAAAATTCAGAAATTCAGAAATTCAGAAATTCAGAAATTCAGAAATTCAGAAATTCAGAATTTCAGAAATTCAGAAATTCAGAAATTCAGAAATTCAGAAATTCAGAAATTCAGAAATTCAGAAATTCAGAAATTCAGAAATTCAGAAATTCAGAAATTCAGAAAATCAAAAATTCAGAAAATCAAAAATTCGGAAATTTTGGAATCCCAAAATTCTGAAAATCAGAAATTCAGAAATTCAGAAATTCAGAAATTCAGAAATTCAGAAATTCAGAAATTCAGAAATTCAGAAATTCAGAAATTCAGAAATTCAGAAATTCAGAAATTCGGAAATTCAGAAATTCAGAAATTCAGAAATTCAGAAAATCAAAAATTCAGAAAATCAAAAATTCGGAAATTTTGGAATCCCAAAATTTTGAAAATCAGAAATTCAGAAATTCAAAAATTCAGAAATTCAGAAATTCAGAAATTCAGAAATTCAGAAATTCAGAAATTCAGAAATTCAGAAATTCAGAAATTCAGAAATTCAGAAATTCAGAAATTCAGAAATTCAGAAATTCAGAAATTCAGAAATTCAGAAATTCAGAAATTCAGAAATTCAGAAATTCAGAAATTCAGAAATTCAGAAATTCAGAACTTCAGAAATTCGGAAATTCAGAAATTCAGAAATTCAGAAAAAAAACCAAGAATTCCAAAAAATCGTATAGTTAGCAAACTTCTGATAACCAAAAACTTTTAAAAGCATTTGAAGTGTGAAATCCAAAATTTTCGAAATTCGACGAGAGATTGAAAAACTAAGAAGAGACGCAGAGAAACGAGTGATTATTATGCTTCATTCCACCCACTAATTAGTACCTTTGAGAGCTGAAAAGTTTTCGGAGAAGAAGAAAGTGGAAAACAACTATTGGATGTACTTTGTACCCCTTTAACAAATTTTTAATCCGAAATACTACAAATAAAATTCTAAAATTCTAAAATTCTAAAATTCTAAAAATCCACAGAAAAACAAGTTTGTGTTTATCCTGTTGACCGGTATATCTTGAAATCGAAGAAACCACTCAATTTTGTTTTTGATTGAATCAATGAAAATGTTCTGGCATTTTTGGTGGAAAACTCAGAGGACTATCGAAAAACGAAACTTTATTGAAGTCCAAAAAAAAGTTCATACATAATAATTATTTTGAAAGATTGAAAATGACAACAGCAGCTTCTTCATCAACATAATCGACACTGATTTCAGCACTAATCCCACGAACATTTCTGATTATGGACTTGTTTGCTCCTCCTTCCTTTGTTTCTGTTGATTTTAATCCTTTCAGCAAGACAGTTTGGGATGATCTCCGTGGGCAAATAAATGGACAAATCCTTCAACCTTGGATTGGATCCCTTTATCCACAATTTGAAAAAACGGTTCAAATCATTAATGGACATTTCTGAAATTTGTATTGACTGTTTTCAAGAAAAAACGAAAAAAGAAAGATATTTTTTGAAATTTGAACATTATTTATTTTAAAAATTAATAATGATTATGATTTGATTAAATATGTAGAAACAAATCCAATTGTCTTAGTGTGTATCTTGAATCATTGTAAGCCTAATCATCGATAAATGACATTTTCCAAGTGCTCCGATGATTCATAGCAATTGCAATCATCCAAAAAATGACAAATGTAGAGCAATAGTAGCTGCAAATTGCTATTTTTTAACTTTAAAGAACTTTGAAGCGATATATCTCGGTTACTGTAACAGATATCAAAAACAAATCAACTGACAAAATGTTTATCATAATATCAATAACATTTTATCTGTTAACAGCTTTATTATATCTTTAATAGGAACCGAGATAAATCAGTTCAAAGTTGAAGAAGCTAACCGCTAAGTTGGCACTTTAAGACAATTTATCTCGGTTACTGTAAGAGATATCAAAAATTGGTCAACTGATTAAATACTTATATTTTTATTAGTAACATTTTATTATGTGACAAATTTTTGAAATCTTTCACAGAATTCAAGATAAATTGGTTCAAAGTCACATGTCTCACGGTATCTTATGAAGTATCTCAGCCTAGAGAACCAAACAAATTGCTCATTTCTGAATTTTGAGTCAAATTTGGCACACAACACACCCAAAATTTGAATTTGCATTCAAAAATTAGTCTAGAAACCATGAAAAGCGGCTCATGACCTAACTTTCCCAATGGTGGCCTAGAAATTTCAAAAACTCGGCCTCCTTGGTTTCTGAAGAAGATTTCAATGGCGAATTCGAATTTTTGGGTTTCAAAAGTCACAAATGACTAGAAAAGTCTAATTTTTGGGTTTTCAAAATTAGCCTCACCTTTTTTAAAGCAACACATAAATAGTAGAATATTCAGAAAAATAGAAAATACACTTCAAAAGGTCCAAATTCAGTATCGGACCATTTTGAAGCGTTTTGAAGGGGTTTTAGGCCGGTGGAAAATCAATAACCAGCCATTTGGGAGGGAGTAGAAGAATAGAATGAAAAGAAATGGGAAACGAGGGGTCGATGGAGACACTCCGCCCCCTTTCTACTTGCGAGGAGACAAGGAGACATCGAGATAGTGTTCCAAGGAGAGAGACGCAGACATTGCCAATTACTCTATCTCTGGAGACGACGGTCGTGTTGACCCCCCGCTGTGTGTGTGTCAGCAAGCAATGTAACAGAATGTATTAAAGGTGGGGGGACATGAAAAAAATAATGTTCTCGAAATTCCGTTCAAAGATGCCCCTCGAGGAGTTGAACTTGTGAGGGTGAGGATTGAGGGTGCGGCGCCGCTACCGACTGAGCTACACGGGCAAAGAGAAAGCGGTCGCCCGTTTGCATACATAAAGGCGAGGACGACAGCTGTACGCAGAGTGACATTAAGCGTTGTACATCGTCACGGTAGAATGCATACTCTAGCTACAAAAAAACTACGAAAAATCTTCTGTCCCCCCACCTTTAACCAGTCAGTTGGGAGGGGAGCAGAGTAGAAGAGAACACCCTCTTAACACCCCACACTATTTCACTGCTCCGTCGCCTGCTTGCTCCCTTTCCCCTCAAAAATAGTTCACAAAATTGAGAGAGTGCTAGGGGGAGAAATGGCAGGAGTGGTCAACGATTTTCTCTCCTCTTTATTTGTATATTCCACTCTCCCTACCAAACGGCTGGTCCCTGATGTTCCACCGCCCTCCCCTAACGCTTCAAAATGGTCCGGTAACTGAATCGGGACCTTTTGAAGTGTATTTTCTATATTTTTCTGAATATTTCTATATGTTTTTCCTGTTTTAGTCAAGTTGAAAAAAGTGAGCTAATTTATTTTTTTTTTTTAATTCTTGAAATCCCTGAAAATCTAATTTTTCCGCATTAACTAGTCATTTTTCGTTTTTGAATTACAAAAACTCAGTTTCTTCTAGTGAAATCGATCATTTTGAAGTTTAAAAATGTGAAAATTCAAGTTCCTCATCAAAAACTACCCTAGAAATGAAAAAAAAAACAGAAAAATTCATAATGGCCGAGTTCTTGAATTTTCTAGGCCACCAGTTGGAAAACTAGGCCGCGAACCGTTTTCGAAGACTTCTAGGATAATTTTTCGCAAAAATCTAGATTTTTCGGAACTTTTGAAATATGGAAAATTTTTGAACTTTTCAAGTTCCAGATCATTTGAAAATTTTCAAATTTTGAATTGACTTTTTTTAAAGGTGGGGGGACATGAAAAAAATAATGTTCTCGAAATTCCGTTCAAAGATGCCCCTCGAGGAGTTGAACTCGACAAGCATTTGTCTGACAGCGTCTTAAAGCACAAAAATTCGAGCTGAAAATCCAAAATTCTTTTTCAGAACGAGCCCCAAATCGATCTTCGTGAATTTGATGGGAATGCCTGTAATGCCGATTCAATCATTTTGAGGACTAATATGCTAAATTGGTTTTGGAACTGGTCAATGAGGATTTTTGTCCCAACGAACTGAATATGGATAGGCTGATATTCTTGTATTATTCAATTTTTTTCATCTAAAAAAATTTAAAAAAACATTTGCTGCTGATTTTGGAGTTACTAGTCAAATCTAGCACAAAATAACACAAAAATTCAAATTACACATAAAAAACTAGCATAGAAACCATGAAAAAACAGTGGCCTAACATTCCAAGTGGTGGCCTAGAAAATCCAAAAACTCGGCCACCATGAGATTTTCCGCTTTTTCTCGGTTTTCGGAGTAGTTTTTGATTAGAAAATCGAGTTTTTGCATTTCCAAATCTAAAAATGATCAATTGAAGCAAAATTCCAAGTTTTGTCCTTTTAAACTACAGTATCCAGCCGCCTCTGTTCGAAAAGATGTGTAAATGCTGGTTTTTGAGTTTCTTGTCAAATTAAGAGCAAAACAAACGCCCAATTCAAGTTTTCCATAAAAAACTAGCCTAGAAATGGTCAAATACGGCCCATGGCCTAACTTTCCAAATGGTGGCCTAGAAAATCCTAAAAACTCGGCCACCATGGAATTTTTCGTTTTTTCTTGGTTTTTGGGGTAGTTTTTGATAGGGAATTCGAATTTTTGTGCTTTAAGACGCTGTCAGACAAATGCTTGTCGTGAAATATAGATTTAGAATTTTCAATTTTGGCTCCAAAAGTACACTGTGACACTTTTAAAGGCGCATGAATCTCATATTTCTAGAATTATGAGGTTATAAGCTTCAAAATGAGCTCAAACACGACATAGTTCCGTCAATTTCGATTTTCAGCCAAAACACGCGACGCACGACCGCGACGCGTCCGAAAATTGAAAAGTTATCGAATCTAGTCGTGTTTAAGCTCATTTTGAAGCACTAAACCTGCGAAGTTTAGATGTGTACAACAAAATTAGAAACACGCGCATTGTGAGCTTCAAAATGAGCGCAAACACAACTTAAATCCGTCAATTTTAATTTTTGACTAAAACACGCGACGCGAAGCGTCTGAATTTTGAAAATCGCCAAATCATGGCGTGTTTGGGCTCATTTTGAAGCTTTAAAACTGGAAAATTTAGTTTATACAGTAAAACTAGAAACACGCGCATTGTGCGCTTCAAAATGAGCCCAAACACAACTTAAATCCGTCAATTTTGATTTTTGACTAAAACACGCGACGCACGACCGCGACGTGTCCGAAACTTGAAGCCCGCTTTTAGTGATTTTCGGCTCTTTTTGAAGTGTTTTGATTGCTGATTGTTTGTTTTCCTGTTCTATGGCCTAACTTTCCAAATGGTGGCCTAGCCCATTCTCAGATAGTTCGGAAAACCTTTCTGAGCCATAAACAAAGTTTATCCATTGCTCGAAAAAGTTTGAAAGTGCTAATAATAATTTTACTGTCGCTTAAAAATGTTTATTCGTTGCTTGAAAAAGTTAGAGAAGGTCTTAGAAAAGTTTTTTTGATACTTAAAAAGGTTTATTCGTTGCTTAAAAAAGTTGTTTTACTGCTAAAAAGGTTGTATCGTTTCTACTAAAACAAGACGTTGATGATCTCGAATACGTTCACAAACGGCAGCTGCTTCTCTGAAATTATTTTTAATTGAAAATCGGTTTTAATAAAATACAATAACTCACTCAATGTCCATCTTAGGACAGTCCGTGTCACAGGCTCTTGCTCTTGTGTAATATGTTATCAAATCTCTTGTATATCCACCATCATTGTCATCGTTCATTTCGGTAATTATTTGAGGTCCATAAATTTCCGCAATCATTTCATCGATGTCAGCATCTCCCGTGTTTCCAAGTGACACTTCCATTTGACGAGGTGGTGGAGCGATTTCAGGTGTTTCTTCTTCTTCATCAACTTCCATATATTCTTCCTCATTTCTCACTTTCTCCACATTTGTCTCCCCAACAGTCCTTGGTGCATCGTATCCCATAAACTCGCGCCAGATGTCCTCGTAAGCAATTCGAATGCGATCATATGTTTTTCCATCTTTGACATCTTGATCGTAAATATGGATAGGAATTCGGCACAATCTTCTCTTCTGCATCTCCTTGTTGCTCATTTCCTTTGGTCCACAAACATTGACTTCCAGTTGACTTTTGATTTGAGTTTGGGCGGTATTGATTTCTCCGTGGATAAAGTTTTGAATGGCTCGGACAGATGACATCATTTCGGTGAAGTTAGCGTCTTTTCTTGAATCGAACGTGTAGCTTTCCGTATTCTTGGCTTCTCTCACTGCTCTAGCTCTTTTGAGCTTCATCTTGATGGAGGATGATTTCGTCCAAAATGTTCCATTAGCCTGCAAATTAAAAGTTAGTTAGTTTGAGAACAAAAACGAAGGGGATGATGTTTAAATAATGCTTCAAAAAAAAAATGTTTTTTCAAAATTTGGATAAAATGATACCTTTTGAACTGAATGCCATTTTCGGTGGCAAAATCAGCTGGAACTTGCTCTTGTTCAATTCCGCTCACATGTGCGCACTTTGAATATGCTGCAGCAAACGTAACCAGCTGACCGATTCCTGAGCCGACGTCGATGAAAGTATCGGAATGGACTGAAACTGCTCGCAGAATTTCCACATTTTGTCGGATCGATGTAGAACCTACGAGAAGCTTTGAACATCGGGATGTGGGCATTTGAAGGATCTTTGATCGTAGACAAATCAAAGTAGAAGAATATTCAGAAAAATATAGGAAATTCACTTCAAAAGGTCTAGATTCAGTTACCGGACCATTTTGAAACGTTAGGAGGGGGCAAGAGAGTAGAATGGAATGATGAAGATCTCTGGAATAGGCCTCCTTATATAGGGGCTACCAGGTGAGGCACCTTGGTAAGCTCCGCCCCCTGGTCCCTCTTCACATCGTCCGATCCTCTTCACCCTGTCGTATCTGAGACAGACAATAGGAAATTGGGCAGTAGACTTTTAGGGCAAGGTGAAGATGGGACAGTACACCAGGAAACTAATTGGGTCATAAATCTAGTTGGTCGAGGGGATTACTGTAAAAAAATTTCGGACAAAAATGAACAATGATTTTTGAGTTTTGTGAAAGATTACTGTAGAAAAAGATCTTAAAGGTGGTGTGTGGTGAAACATTTTTTTTGCTTTATTTTGTGCAGAATTCCATGTAGATCCCCATAAAAACAAAGAGAAAATTCAAAAAAAAAAGCCTTCATTGAGAAAAACGGCATCGAAAAGTCAAAGTGGGATCCGGTGGCCTAGCGGAGAGGTGTGAATTTTCTAGGCCAATTGCCGGTAAAAGCGCGCGAAATTCGAATTTTTATCGATTTTTAGTGTTTTCTCTGATGTTTTCAAAAGAATTCAAAATGTTTTTGTTAATTTCCTCCCAGGTGTATGAAAAAACCTGACAAAAATCGATAAAAATTCGAATTTCGCGCGCTTTTACCGGCAGTTGGCCTAGAAAACTCACACCTGGCCGCTAGGCCACCGGTTCCCACTTTGACTTTTCGATGCCGTTTTTCTCAATGAAGGAATTTTTTTTTTGAATTTTTTCTTTATTTTTATGAGGATTTACATGAATTTCTGCACAAAATAAAGCAATAAAATGTTTCACCACACACCACCTTTAATTGCTCTTTTATTGCTCATACAGAATGACGTCATTTTCATCTTGTCGTATATTCTAAAAATCCCAAAAATCATACTTTTCCAGTCACTTGTGATTTCTGAAACGTAGAAATTTGAATTCCCCATCAAAAACTACCCCAAAAACCATAAAAAAACAGAAATTCCCCTGGTGGCCGAGTTTTGGAATTTTCTAGGCCACCATTTGCAAAATTAGGCCATGAGCCGTTTTTTGTGGTTTCTAAGCTAGTTTTTTGCGGGAAATTTGAATTTTGTATTTGTTATGTGCTAAATTTGACTGGAACCCTGAGTTTTTTGTTTAAATTTCTAGACATTAAAAATGTTTGTTTTCTAAAAAATATGAAAATTCGAAGTTCCTGAAAACGTGGTACAAAATGCTTAAATTAGCCTGAAAATTTCAGAGAATACTAAACAAAAATAGAGCTTCAATTTTGTAGTTGACAACTTTATTGGAAAAATTTATTTGTACAAAAAAAGTACGGTAAGCAGTCTAATAGAACGCCACTTGAATAGTCAAATTTGAGCCCCATGTATCTCATTTTCTGTGAAAGATATCAAAAAGTGGTCAACTGATAAAATGTTGCTGATATCATGATAAACATTTTATCAGTTGACAACTTTTCAATATCTTTTGAAGGAAGTGAGATGTGTAGGCTCAAAGTGGACGGTGCGGGTAGCGTTCTATTTGTATTTGGATCGTTGTAAGCTTCATTTGGAATTTTGAGCAAAATTCAGAACAAAATAGTATTTTCTGTCTTTTAGAGTAGTTTTTGTTGATAAATTCGAATTTTGTGGTCAGAATTCTTCAAAATCAATATAATTTTTCAGATCCGTGTCTATGTTAAAGGGTACCATCATTGATTGTTTGGGACCAGAGCGTTCAGCCGCCGTGGCATCAAGAGGAAAATGGTGTGGATGTCTATCAGGAACGAGCCATGGAAATCATGGTAAGTTTTTAAATTTTTTTTCAAAGACTCGTTTCAAATATCGTGATCTTCCAGGCTTCCCGCAATGGTGCTGTTCCAATCAAAAGAAGTGTATTGAATCCCGAGTACAGCCCAGACATGATGTACAATATCGAGTTGGGGATCATTCAGTTACCTCCTCTTCCTAATCGAATACTGTATTTTTATATAAAGTTTTGGATATAAATTCTTTTTTGAAATGTAAATTTGTATTTGTCTCGTTGTAAGCGTCACAATGATCCCAAACACGGGTTTGTAGATTCTGAAAGAGTACTGTAAAAAAAAGTTGCTAGGACAGAGAACGTCCCACCCCCCCCCCCCCTCTTAACCTTGTCGTATCTAGCAGACAATTCATGGGGTATGGGGTCCACCAAATGACCTTTAACACTCTCTCATTTTTGTGTACTATTTCGGAGGAACATACAGCTAGCAACAACAGGGGGTCAATGAAAGAGTATGAGGTGTGAAGAGGTTTCCCTCTCACTCTCTTGCTGTAAACTTTCTAATCTCCTACTGTCTGTCCCAGATACTATAAGGTAAAGAGTATCGGACGACGTGAAAAGACTCCTTGCCTCCTAGAAAAGTGCGAAAAGGGGGCGGAGCTTGTCAAGGTGTCCCCCTGGTTGTCCCCCCCCCCCCCGACCTCAGGAGAAACGAGCCATCTGGGGAGTATGATAGAAAAAAGAGACACCAATGACCCGCCAGATACGAGTGACGTCATCCTATACGAACAATAATAGGGCAACCAATTCCTTTTTCTACAGTAATCCTTTAATATCTGAAAAGCCCAAAACCAGTCAAATCGCTCATTTTTTGTCGGAAATTTTTCTACAGTAATCTCCTCGACCCACTCATTTTATGACCCAATTAACCTCCAAGTGTGTATCTGTTAAGATTCCATCTTCACCCTGTCCTACGGTAGACTTTCTAATCTCCCACTGTTTATCCCAGATACTATAAGGTAAAGAGTATCGGACGACGTGAAGAGACTCCTTGCCTCCTAGAAAAGTGCGAAAAGGGGGCGGAGCTTGTCAAGGGGTCCCCCTGGTTGTCCCCTATATAAGGAGTCCTATTCCGCAGATCTTCATTATTCTATAGTACTCCCCCTCCCAAATGACCGGTTATTGATTTTCCATCGGCCTAACCCCCTCAAAACGCTTCAAAATGGTCCGGTAACTGAATCTGGACCTTTTGAAGTGTGATCTCTATTTTTCTGAATATTTCTAGTATTCCTAGCTTCAAGTTTAAGAAGGTGAGCTTATAATCAAAATCCGACTTTCTGAGTCATAAATCATCTTTGAAACACAAAAATTCAAATTCCCCAACAAAAACTACCCCAGAAACCCAGAGAAAACTGAAAAATCCAAGGTGGCCGAGTTTTTGAATTTTCTAGGCCACCATTTGGAAAGTTAGGCCATGAGCCTTTTCAAGTGGTTTCTAGGATAATTTTTCGCGGGAAATTCAAATTTTTTAGTAATTTTGGTGTATCGTGTCATTTTGGCAATGAACTTGAATAGTGGCTTAAATTTGCCAACGTTGGCCAAAATGTGCCCAAATTGCCCAATACTCCCAATTTGCATAGAAATATGTAAAAAGTTTTGCAGGAAACCATGGCGAATGTTCCCTACATTCTTCATACAAAGCGGATCCAGCTAAAATTGTCAGAGTGAAAAAGTAAGTTCCTTCGAATCAAAAAATTGAAAAAAAAACTTATTTAATTCTAGATGTGACAATGAGGATTGTGATTGCAGTACAAATTCTTGTGACAATTATAGTATGTCCAAAGTCGTGTGCTCTGAAAAAGGCTGGATGTAAAAACCAAGTCTTCGAAGAATACCGACAACTACGAGGCAAACGCTTTTTTGCCAAATCCTCTGAAGACAAAGGAACTGGACAAAATGAGTTCATCATTCCTTACAACGGAGAAATCATCATTTCTATTCCTGAGCTTCAAATTCGAATACAAGGAAAATGGTGAAACCCATACGTACCCGTTCAAAACTGGTCGTAGGTTTTACATCGATCCTACAAAATGTGGAAACTCCGTTCGATTTGCCAATCATAGTTGTGAGCCAAACATGATTGCGAAGAAATGGATGGTCAACAATCGAAAGGAAGGACCAAAAACAGGCGTCGAGAGAGAGGGGGGGATGACACCACAGACACGCGGAAGATACAGTACCTACCGAGCAATAGGTATCGAAGAGCTATCGTTGCGCAATTAAAGATTCCGATGGACTACGTCTTCTTGCTGCTGTAGCCTTCATTTACACGGGTATCGACAGGTGTCCTATCAGAGCATCAGTGTTGCTATGAAAAACCTTCATACGAATCCAAGTCCGTTTTTTCCACCTTCTCGCTGCATTGTTTGAAGTATGGAAGATCAGCTGGGAAATGAGAACAAAAAAATTAAAAATGACCGAACAATTTTGACTTTTATAGGAATCCAGACAGTGATGCCATGTAAACGCGGTCCCAGACAATTGACGTTGAAGTCTGGGAAGGTAGACCACTAGAAATATCAATACACAAATACGATGGAAGCTACAGAAAACTCCACCTCGCTAGTGCATTTGATCTATTTTTCCGCAAAGAAAACATAAATCATAGGAATGGACTTTGAAACTTTTATTTCTGATTAAAAATAGATTAGATTCTGTTAGTTTCTTGTTCGAGTTGTTTCAGCAAAAAAGATGAAATGAACTCCTTGATTCTGTCCTTCGAGATGAACCACTGCAAAAAGAAACTTGTACGGAAAAAACAGTTTTTTCTTTGAGTTCAACTATAATGTTTTGACGCCCATAATTTGGCTTCTAGACGTGAATTACAAAGTCTGAATTGTTTTAAAAAGCTGTAGTGTTTTCATATATCAACCCATTTCTTTATTTCTGGCCCAACTTACCTTATCGCCTTCTTCCAACTCGCTCATCTCTTCCAACTCGCTTATTTTAGCGTTGATTTCATTCATAACTCCTTCCTCTCCTTCCAAAAATTCGTATCCAACTTCACGGAGCATATGGTACTTGTAGTCTATGTAAAATTGTCTCAAAGGAACTGAGTTCTCTCTGCATTCGGATTTCACGCGCTGTGCCCAATTGATTGTTCCGCCCACGAAGATGTCTAATTCGATCATTTCCAGTTTCTAAAAAATTTATTTTATTGCTTTTTTCCAAAAATATTTAAGCAAAATGTTACCGTGTGAAAACTTTTGGGGAGTGTGGCAATTCGCATTGCTTGTTTCTGGAAGTCTTTCAGCTTGTGGACGTCGGCCAGGTTGGCCACCCCACGAGCCAACTTGGCGACTCTTGGGAAAGTTCGAGTTTCGACAATACTTATTTCGTTATCCACCGGTTCGATTTTGATTCTGAAAAATTGAAATGAAATACATTTTAAAATTGTTTTTTCCCCAAAAACTGTAAATTCTTTTCTGAAATTTCAAAGTGAGCAGAGCCTAGTCGTGTTTAGGCTCATTTTGAAGCTCTCAACAAGATGCATCTAACGAAGATGTTCAGAATGCTAGTGATTCGAATATTTCCAAACTTTATATAATTCCAAAAATTCTGAGAGTTTGGTAGTTTTGAAAATGGGAAATCTGAAACGTTGAGAATAATAAGACTGTTTTCAAGCAAAAAAAATGTATTCAAAGAAAAAAATGTCTGATTTAGGCTTGAAATGTGTACTCACCTTTTTTCGAACTTGAAAGATCAGCAAAAATAGGGAAGCGGAATACTCAGAAAAATAAAAAGTACACTTCAAAAGGTCCAGATTCAGTTACCGGACCATTTTGAAGCGTGAGGAGAGGGGATAGAGGGAGTAGAATGGAATAATTAAGATCTCTGGAATAGGACTCCTTATATAGCAGAAAACCAGGTGGGTCATTGACAAGCCCCGCCCACTTTTCGAATTTCCCAACTAGGAGTCTCTTCACGTCGTCCAATCCTCTTTACCTTGTCGTATCTGAGACAGGCATCAGGAGAATTTGATAGGACAAGGTGAAGAAACCATAAGAGGAGACCCCATTGAATCTTCCGCAAAAAGTTAGGTGATAGAGTATTGGAGAAGGAGAGAGTGGCAGACAGTAGGTAGACGCCTGTTTAGATTTGTTTTACAAATCTAGATCTGTTTTACACTTTCCCGAATTTTCGAAAAAATTGGACACTTGATAGCCGAGTTCTAGACCTCTGAAAATAGCCAAAATGACCTGGTGTTTCTGATTGATAGGTACTGTAACTCGGCTCAAAATTGGAACTTTAAATTGCATCAAAAACTAAAATGTAGATCTTGAGAAGATCTACAAAATGATATCTACCTTGGCAAGATTCTAAAACCCACTTTTGAACGACACAACGTTAAACTTGGAAGTTCGAAAATACAACTTTTTAAAATTAAAAATCAAATTTACCTCAAACTAATGTTCAAATCACTAAGTTTCTACATTTTTATTAAATTCAACTTGTTGAGCGCTACAAAATGAGCCTAAACGCGACTAGGCTCCGCCCTTTTGGCGCGTANTGTAAGAGTCTCTTCCAAAAAAGAAATCGTCGGACGGTTGTCTCGAATCCCACCAATTACTAAGGATCAACTACATTGTGGACATCAATTGGAATTCGGAGAGGTTGCGACTTGCCAGAAAAGAAATGAAGACTCGAATACGGTAGTTCAACCAAATACGGTAACTCGCAGTTCTAAAAATTTGAGAAAAGTGGTTTTTCAGAGACTCGCTGATGGACACACTTACGTGCTCCCGCCACCACCAAAAGCAGGTGATCGTGTTGTGCCATCCGGAAAAATGGTAAAATGCATCTGCACAATAGGCCTCTTCGCTCTTCTATTCATGTTTTTGAATAAACGTTTTTGCTTGAA